CGGAACCCGCCTTTTCCGTAGTATAAAACCTGCCTAGAAATATTCTCGAAGCTGTGAAAAAAACGGAGCAAGGATGCTACGATCTCGCAGTGGCCTCGACCGTTGCAGTAGACCCGTTATGCGAAAGCTTGTACTCTATATAGACGACGGCATCTATAAGCTAGTCTACTAATTTTAGCCCTCGACCGACATGCGTAATTTTTGAGTCATTATAAGCCGCCGGTTATATTCGTCTAGACGTTTACAAAACACGCCCCCGAGTCTTCGTTCAATGCGTAATAGGTTACAAACTTTAGGTTTATCGCTAAGCCCAGTCGCAATTGTTCGTTATATTACTATATCGCATATGCGAGTTCTCTGTCCGTCCGTATTAGTTGACATCGAGTTAAGATTAGCGACCCCGTGGAGAGAAGAGAGAGAAGGAAAGATGAGCGGAAACATTAGATTGGATTAGGTGACAGCGAGGTGGATGAGAAGAGAGAGAGACGAAGAGGGAGAAGAGATTAGCGAGAGAGGAGAGATGAGGGAAAGAAAGAGAAGAGAGAGAAGAGAGAGAGAGAGGCTGACCGCCTCCCGTGTCCCGAGGAGAGAGAGAGAGAGAGAGAGAGAGAGATGAGGAAGAGAGAAGAGTGAGAGAGAGATGGAGAGAGCGAGAGTTGGAGAGAGGAGAGTGGTGAGGAGAGAGGAGAACAGAGAGAGGAAGAGAGGAGATGAAAGGGGAAGATGAGAGATAAACGAGAGGAAAGAGAGAGTCAGGGAGGGAGAGAAGATGAGAGATCGAGATGGGAGCGAGATGCGTGCGTGCGTGCGTGCGTGCGTGCGTGTTTGTGTATGTGTGCGTGTGTGTTTGTGTATGTGTGCGTGCGTATTTGTGTGGCTGCGTCCTGCCTACCTGCTCGTCTGCCTGCCCGCTTGTGTTTACCTATATCTGCCCAACTATCCACACATCTCATACAGTATGATATGCATTCATCTTTATCTAATCGTTTATTTATTCTTGTATAACGTTTTGTTTGGCATTTGATAAATCGTCTGCTAAAGTAGCATGGATCGTAGGGCCCCTACATAACACCAATAATTAGTATAGAGTCCACATAGAAACCTCGTGACCGCTAAGAGTACGCGCGCGTACACCCATGCACGTCCACCACAGCAGATCGAACTATACGCCGTTACGCTGTACGCTGTCCGAACGCGTGAGCCGCATTACGTAACATGCAGATCAATTGTTATATATACAGTTTCATTCTGTTTTGCTGGCGCCCCTAACCATGACATAAAATGCACAAGTATATATATATATATACGTACAAGTATACGTATATGTGCACAAGTATATATATATATATTTATTAGGCAGCTGTAGTTAGTGGCAAAAAAACGCAAACGCAGTAAACTTAAGCACCATTCTGGCGATTGTCGGCAGTATACTCAGTACTTTTATTTTGAATACTGCGGTATGCACGCGCCAAGCTGCCGCCGAACCGCGTTCACGCAGAATCCATAACTCGACTAATAATAATCGACTACAACTAAAATAAACATGAATGTAGATATATTCCACGATACGTATGCGCTATATGTGCATCAAATGAGTGTCGTATGTAGGTAATCATTGTTCCGTATAAGCTATGCGATTATCAAGTGCGAAATAATTATATAATTCACGTACTGTAGTATATAGTCTGTAAGCTTGCCTGGCTCTTGGCGCGTGTACGGCGCTTCTGGTTCGATTTGACACGCCGCCTCCGCATAGTAAGCGTATCCCACAAAGCCTCGCGCGAGTAATATGACGTCACTGCTCCCGCTTAGGCGTACGCCATTTTGAAAATTTTTCCGTCATAGTGGTTGTAATCATTCACCATCCTAAATATTCCTTGGTCAAAATTTAAAGTGTATGCTAACGTAGGTGTAGCTGAATATCTACGTTATTTGGCTGCCCGAGTATTACTATTCAACATGTCAGGTAAGTGCATGTTATTTGCATATCTTGCAGTGCTACCCCCTTGAAAAATTCTGTTTGCTTTCGCCGGCAAACGTTAGGTCGTATTTAACAGCGCCATAATTTGTGTTGTAGCTTTGAGCTTATGCTTCTGATTTTGTTGCAGGCAACGTAGGAGATATACAGTGGTGTTTCTCACAAGTCAAAGGGACTATGGACGACGATATCACTGAGGGTAAGCAGTGCTGTGGGGCATAGTTGATTTAATTGAGCTAATTTACAAAAACTGGGTCAGTTTTAATCAGTTTCCTGTAATTTGCATAAGTGACGATTTGTTATAGGTACTAATACTACTATTCTATCGCATATACGTGTTTATGAGTGAATGCGTGACTTTAATTTTTCAGAAAGGGGGGCGTGTTCAATAATTTGTCAAATGAGCATGCCATATTTCTTTAATTCTTGGTGTTGCACTGCAGATCTCCCTTGCTGTGCTTTGGCAGCTTGTGCTGGCTGTGTTGGCTATGCTTTCTGCACTCAGTGTGTTTTACTCCAGTTAGAATGTAGGATTATAGTGCATCATAAACTGCTGTAGGCCTATATATATACTTTGTCAGTTGTCCATCAACCAAAGAGATTTCAGATACACATACTGCATTACTGGTGACATTGTTAATCCATAATTATGATATATCAGTGTTCTGATCAAGGATTGTGTGGGACCCCTGCAAATGTGTTTTGCACATATACTATGTTCTAAGTATTATGATGAAAAAATATACCTGTATTCAGATTAAATGCAACGATGTTAAAGTTTCTTCCTCGGTGATCACGGTGAGCTTATGCATGCAATGCACAGGTACATGTCCTCAGAACTAATACAGGGTAGCAATATATATATATATATATATATATATAACTACCGCATTGATGAATTACACAGTAAAGCACCATTACCTAGTTTAATATAGGCAAGTTACCATTGACCAGTGCGTTGTTTTTGCTTGGAATGTGCATGTTAATTGTATGTACACAGCTATACTGCCTGATGCATATGGTTAGTATAAGTGCACGTTTACATGTACATATATGCTTACAAGTTACAATGTCAGTTACCACCTACTGTCTGTTTTTGTCGACTTTCTGGTTAACGAAAGGTTTAGCATTTAATTCTAATTGTAAATCAACAGCTGCATTTAAATTGATCGTACTGTATGGCAGGTACTGTATAGTGTATGTACGCTGTATATTTCGCAATTAGTTTAATTTTTGCGAATTTTGCGAACGCGTCCTCGACCGCGAAAATAACAACACGCTGTTCTTCACTGATTCGGGAATTCACCGACCCGCGAAATTAACCACTCGCGAAATTGTTCGTCAAGTCTGAATTTGCGAAAATATCTGTACACGAAAAATATGGCGTATACAGTAATACAATCTAGAATTTGTTGGATGTAGACAGTGCTAACAGCTTTTTTGCAAAATTGTCACATACAGCTTAGTGATTTTCTTCGAAATTAGAAGAAACTCCAAAGAAAATGTGTCTAATTATAATATATAAAGACATTGCTATAATTTGTAGCCAACCTACGAAACAACTTGACACTTGATCGTATGAAACTTCTTGAGAATCGAGCTTGCAGTCAACACGATACTTTTACAGAGCGCATTGTTTACACGGCAGGCTATGTTTACAATTTGACAATGGCAGGCATGGATATAGAGATATGGTCATGTGAGTGGCAGAAGTGCAAGTCATTATTAATATACTGTAGATGTATAGATCTGTTAACCGCAGTATTCTTAAGTAAAAAACTGTGAACCCATTTGTACTCTTTTTATATCTGTTTCTTACTATTGTTACAGCTGACATAATATCTACAGTAGAATTCAATCACGATGGAGAGCTTCTAGCTACAGGGGACAAGGGTGGACGTGTTGTTATTTTCCAACGAGAACAAGCGGTGAGTCTTCGTGATGTTTATTCGATTTAAAATGCTTAGATGGTTGACTGTTAAGTGTTGAAAATTGTTGCTAACAGTTGTAAATTCACCATATTAAAATTGTACTAATTCAGTTCTTCCTGGCATAGATACATCATTGTCATACAATGTCATCGATCACCCACTTGAGGTTCATACACATCAACCTGGAAAGTCTTGGGATTTTAAAATGACATTTTCCAAGCCTGGAAAGTCCTGGAAAACGGGCTGTTACTGTTTTCAGTCCTGAAAAGTCCTGTAAATTCATCATATATATATCTACTGTTAATAAATAACGATTTTCTTAGGTGTTGAAAGTCGAGTTATTGGTCGATTTAGCTTAAATCTGGAAATTCTGACAAATTTGCTTTTTTGTCATGGAAAAGTTCCAGAAAAAATGTGTCCTGTCATGTGTACAAACCGTACTACCCCAACACATTTTATTTTATTTGTTTAATACAGCTCGTAATATATTAAAAATGAACATTTCCAATGAAAGCCAGGATTTCAAACAGAATTTCCGACCGGTCTCTTGTTTTCCCTACTTTTACGATACTTTACATTATTAGGTATGCAGTTACAGCGCTGTCTAGAGTTCGAATTTTGATTACTTGTTTTCATTTGCTTCACAACAACTAATAACAACATGTTGAAAATATGGATATTTTATTAAATTGTATTTTTCTAAAGTCTAATATGAACTGTAAGTGTAATGGCAGGTAGACTTGTGAATGGTGGCATTTCAAGCAATCCTAATGCTAACACTTGTCAGGAAGCGTGGTGGCATGATGTACTCTAAGGACATCCTATGGCTCCTCGTTTTAATATTTATCTACATGGTACGCCTGGAATTTTACTCTTTACCTCTATCCGTAGAATCGTGTGTGTTCAGGGAATGATTGTTTAAAGTGAGGTCTAATCGTTATCATTTAAACATGATGTATTATTAGGATATTCATATATGGTAAATGTTTGAATGTTCACAGTTATTGTATCCCCCGCGACGAACTCGGCGGGGATACTATGGTTTCATGTCTGTCCAGCCGCCGCTCGGCGCCGCCGCAGACACTTTCCCT